CATTGTGTGTATGTACCAAAGTTTATCTATTCTTCCATTGATAGGCATTTAGGCTGTTGTGAATAGTGCTGTGATGAGTGTTGGTGTGCATAGATCTACTCATGTCATGGCTTGTACTTCTTGAGCATACATACAAATAGAGGGATTGCTGGGTCATTAGATATTTTTATTTCCAATTGCCTGAGGAAGTGCCACACTGTTTTTCACTGGTTGTACTATTTTACAGTCCCACCAACAGTGTAGGTGGGTCCCAGTCTCTCCACACACACAAAGGATTTTTTTAAGAGACAGTTTTGCTACCTTCTATCTCCAGTTTCCTTATTCACCTAAACCTTTTCTGTTTTGCTTAGAAGTCACTAATGTGACAACAGCAGTGGACATCTACTCCTTTGGCATGTGTGCACTGGAGGTGAGGGCACGAGAAAGGAGGGAACAATAAAATCAAGCTAGAAGGTGGGCGGGGAAAATGGAGGGAGGACAGACAGGTGCTGATCTTGAGGGAGTCATTATGGGAATACTGGGATTCTCAGATTTCTGCTCTTTTTCTTCCCCTTCACTGCAGATGGCAGTGCTGGAGATTCAGGGCAATGGAGAGTCCTCATATGTGCCACAGGAAGCCATTAGCAGTGCCATCCAGCTTCTAGAAGACCCATTACAGAGGGTAAGGATCTTCAGGATCTCTTCCTCCTTTATGGACTTCCAAATATCTTCAGGTTTTCCTTCTTGTCTACCTACTGAGATAATTTGCTCTTCTAAGAGCAAGGGAGTGGAACATAAAGCAGAAATGTTACACAAAAACAGCTAGCATTTAACTAGATGGTGCCTACCATGTTTTTTGTATACACACACACACACAGGTTGGGAGGGAGTGTTAAGATGAGTAATATTGGGATTAAAGGTTGTATGTCAATTAGGAGTCTGGTGTGGCGCTGCGGGTTAATGTGCTTTTCTGCAAGGTCTGATTGAACCGTAAGGTTGGTAGTTCAAGCTCACCAGCTGCTCCTCGGAAATCCTGTATAGGGTTGCTATGAGTCAGAACCGACTCAATAGCACTAAACAACAATATGGAGATAAGCTAATTTGATAGTTATCTCAGACCATGGGTACATATACTCATCTTGATATTTTAAAAGAAATTGATAATTATGGGTTAATCAAATCAGTCGTTTGAGATTTGGGAATTATACAGTTTTAACTAGGGAAGGTATCCAGAAAAAATGAGGTAAGATTTAAAGGATGTAAAGGAGCTCTGGTAGCGTAGTGGTTACGAATCGAGCTGCGAACCTGAAAGTCAGCGGTTCGAAACTACCAGCTGCTCCGCGGGAGAAAGATGAGGCTTTCTACTCCCGTAAGGATTTATACCCTTGGAAACCCTGTACAGGGTCGCTATGGGTCGGAACCGAATCCACGGCACTTAACAACAACAACAACAAAGGTAGGTACTGAATCAGTGGGTAGACTACAGTTAAGTAGAGGTTGGATGGGAAAAATACAAATAACAAACACTGGTAATTCATTAGATAAGTACAACAGGGAGCAGGAGAGACAAGCATAAAACTAATGTGCAGTCTTGAGCTAGTATGGACTAAGTTTCTAGTTCACCATTGTTATTCAAGTGTTGTCAATTCATAGCGACCCTGAGGGGCGGCTGGTGGGTTTGTACCACTAACGCTGTGGTTAGCAGTCCAGTGCTTATTTTTATAGCACCATATCAGGACTTTATTTCAGCATTGCTGTTGTTAAGTGCCATCAAGTCAGTTCCCACTCGTGGCAACCCTATATAGGGTTTCCGAGGAGCGGCTGATAGGTTTGAACCGCCAACCTTGTGGTTCAAACTGACCTTGCAGCCCAGTGCATTATCCCGTAATGCCACACCAGTAGGGTGAGTTATTCAAGTAAAAAATAAGGTGTGTGACCTTGCTGACATTCAAGAATGAAAGTGGGAAGGCAGGTTAATTGTCATGGGACCATGAAAGATAGGAAGGAAAAGAGAAAGCAGGGAGGAATGCAGTGGACCCAATAAATGATTGTAGTAGACCAAAGAAAATGTGGTTCTAGACTTGGGAAATTAAAAAAAAATGGTGAATATTTTTTATCCCAGTGAGTAAGTTCAAGAAGAGAGAAGCTAAGTTTGGTAAATGTTGGAGAAGAAGGTTGTAGTAAGTGGGCTAAGAGGGCAGAGAGCTAGAAATAAGGAAAAATAAATCATAAGTTTGAACAGTAAAGAAAGACAGCTTGTGGTTGGAGAGCTGTAACAATTACAACCCAGAAAGATAATGATACCTTTCATAAAATACCTTAGTTTTCAAAGCCCTTTGGGATGCATTTCTCAGTTTGTTCACTTAGCAGTAACTAAGTACCTAGTATGTACAGAAAAGCTTTGTGCTAAGTATAATGAGAGATACAAAGATGAACATGATGGAGTACCTGTTCTAGTTCCTGTTACCTTTTCTAGGAGTTCATTCAGAAGTGCCTGCAGCCTGAACCTGCTTGCAGACCAACAGCCAGAGAACTTCTCTTCCACCCAGCACTGTTTGAGGTGCCCTCGCTCAAACTCCTTGCTGCCCACTGCATTGTGGCACACCAGCGTAAGTCTCCTTGGCTCTGCTAGGAATTTTTTTCCAATCTGGAGCTTTGTAACTATAACTGACATGCTCTCTTTAACATTTCCAAAGGGATTCTTTACCCAGCAGGAAACCCATGCCTTCTATGACACTGGGGATCTTAGTCTGACTATTTCTCCTTAAATTCCATTCCATTATGCCCTCCAGACATGATCCCAGAGAACGCACTGGAGGAGATCACCAAAAACATGGATACCAGTGCTGTACTGGCTGAAATCCCTGCGGGACCAGGAAGAGAACCTGTTCAGACTTTGTAAGGAATTAATGGTCAAAGAGGGACACATTGATCAGTACCACCCTGAGGGTTCTGTAGACTGTCCATTATGTTGTTGTTATGTGCTGTGGAGTCGGTTCCGACTCATAGCGACCCTGTACAGGGTTTCCGAGGCTGTAAATCTTTACGGGAGCAGAAAGCCTCATCTTTCTCCCACAGAACAGCTGGTAGTTTCGAACTGCTGACTGTGAGGTTAGCAACCCAATTAGCTTATATGGGAATGGTTAAATCTGGTACTTTTGCTTGTTTCCTTCCTTTAATCTTTTTTTTTTTTTTAATTTAAATCTCTTCTAGGTATTCTCAATCACCAGCTCTAGAATTGGATAAATTCCTTGAAGATGTCAGGTTAGAGAAGAATGAGGGCAGGCTTACTTGAGGATGTAGGGGTGGGTGTCTTAAGGCATTTATAGAGCCCACGTGACCTATCTTCAACTTCCACCAGGAATGGGATCTATCCCCTGACAGCCTTTGGGCTGCCTCGGCCCCAGCAGCCACAGCAAGAGGAGGTAACATCACCTGTGGTGCCCCCCTCTGTCAAGACTCCAACACCTGAACCAGCTGAGGTGGAGACCCGCAAGGTGGGAGCTCTGTGGGTATGGATGTCTCAATGGTCATGGTGGAAGGGAAACAGAAGACAAGTCACATACAGATTTGACCTTTAGAGGAAATGTATTTCTGCTTCCAGGCAACCATGTCCTAAGAGCTGCAAAGGCTTCTAAGTGTTGACAGTTTTTTATCAAGCAGCCTGTGTACTTTAGTGACCCTCTCTGTACTTTCTCCTTAGGTGGTGCTGATGCAGTGCAACATTGAATCAGTGGAGGAGGGAGTCAAACACCATGTAATGCTCACTACCAGGGCTGCATTGGGCCGGGTGGCCAGAGGGTGGGGGAGAGAAGCCTCAATTTCTGATGTCTTATCCTCCAGCTGACGCTTCTATTGAAGCTGGAGGACAAACTGAACCGGCACCTGAGCTGTGACCTGATGCCAAGTGAGTCCTCTCCCTTGGAGGGTGGAGAGCCTGTGAGTTTTGTCTTGGAGGGACATAATCAGGCAGGAAACGACAAGGCAATAATAACACCTTGACTCATAGAGAATGACTTTTAGCCCCTAAAATTGGTGGTGGATCTGTCATTCTAGCCAGGGGGGTAACCTGATTAGAGCTATTTTAAGGGTTCTGTCTGTGCCCCTCACTCCCATACTGTACTCACCCCCTTCTGTTTCTCGTGGTCAGATGAGAACATCCCGGAGTTGGCAGCTGAGCTGGTGCAGCTGGGCTTCATTAGTGAGGTAAGGTTTCTCTCTTCATCTGCCCTGGCTGCCTCCATTCCTTCTCTCCTCTCAGTCCCTGTCTCACTGAGCTCTTCTCCCCCAGGCTGACCAGAGCCGACTGACTTCTCTGCTAGAGGAGACTCTGAACAAGTTCAATTTTGCCAGGAACAGCACCCTCAACTCAGCCGCTGTCACCGTCTCCTCTTAAGAGCTCACATGGGCCAGGCCCCAATCTGAGCTGTGGCTGTCACTAGATGTGCAACAGCCCTCCTGACCCTCCCACCCTACCCCCCAGTCAGTATTACCCTGTGAAGCCCCTTCTCCTTTATTATTCTGGAGGGCTTTGGGGACTCCCTGGTTCTGAACATCATCCTACCCCTGCTCCTTCTCTTCCTCCCCTCTGCACTTTGTTTACTTGTTTTGCACAGACGTGGGCCTGGGCCGTCTCAGCAGGCGCCTTCTAGCTGGGGGCTGGTAGCTGATCTGCTGGCTCCTGCCCAGCCTGTGTGGAAGAGAGGCCCATGGGCCCTTGGGGAGCTGAATTCTACAATCCCGCTGGGGCAGATGGGCGGGAGAGGAGGGTGGTGCTGCAGTGGTGGCCCTGGGGGGCCATTCAATTCGCCTCAGTTGCTGCTGTAATAAAAGTCTACTTTTTGCTAAAAGCGTCCTGTGTGTTTGGCCTTCCCCGCTAGGGGGAGCGGGGCTCCGAGCCTGCCACCAAGGGCGCGGTGGTTGGGCTTCAGGTAGTAGATGGGGCGGGACTGGGCCGCAGGCCGCGGGGCGGAGCCTGAAACCAGGTAGAGCTGCCCGGCGGCAAGGCGCATAGGAGCAGGATGAGGTGCCACCGCCTTTGCAGATTCGGTAACTTCCGGTCCTTTCGGCTCCCCTGAGACCACCCTCTTCCGCCTATCCTATAACCTGTGGTACACCTGGGGCCCCCGTGACACACGCGCCCTCTTTATCCCAGGCTCAGGCCCTTCCCTCCCCCCTGCTTTGCAGACGCGGCCAGAGGGCCCCGGCGGCTTATGCGTGTGGGGCTCGCGCTGATCCTGGTGGGCCACGTGAATCTGCTGCTGGGGGCCGTGTTGCACGGCACCGTCCTGCGGCACGTGGCCAATCCCCGCGGTGCCGTCACACCGGAGTACACCACCGCCAATGTTATCTCCGTGGGCTCGGGGCTGCTGGTGAGTGAGGAGGGAAGGTTGGGCCGAGGGCAGGAGCACTGAGAATAGAATAGGCCTTACTTAGGCTTTGTGTCTTCCACAGAGTGCTTCTTTGGGACTTGTGGCCCTCCTGGCCTCCAGGAACCTTCTTCTACCTCAGCTGGTGAGAGGGGACTTCGGGTGCTCATAAGGAGGCCTCCAGGCAGGGAAATGGGAGTTGACTCAGCACCATATTTAAATAGGGAGGAGCCTCAAGGAAAAACTCAGGTGTCTAGTCATTGTGAAGTTAGTCAACCCACAGCAGCTCACTGGAATCTTCTGCCCCTGCCAGCACTGGGCCCTGCTGGCACTAGCTCTGGTGAACCTGTTCTTGTCTGCTGCGTGCTCCATGGGCCTCCTGCTTGCTGTGTCACTCACTGTGGCCAATGGTGGCCGCCGTCTTATTGCTGACTGCCATCCAGGACTGCTGGATCCTTTGGTACCACTGGACCAGGGGTCTGGACATGCTGACTGCCCCTTTGACCCCACAAGAATCTATGTGAGCACATTCTCTTTCGCATCCTTTATGCAATCCTCAAAACTTTGGTCCTTCTGCCCTTTTAATTTTCTGTGCTTACTGCTCCTTCCCCACTAGTCCCCATCCTTCATCCTTGCTTTGTAGGATACAGCCTTGGCTCTTTGGATACCTTCTTTGGTCATGTCTGCAGTGGAAGCTGCTCTGTCTGTTTACTGCTGTGTGGCGGCACTCACCCTTCGAGGGGTTGGGCCCTGCAGAAAGGAAGGGCTGCAGAGACAGGTAAGAAGAACAAGGGTCCTGAGCTCTTCAGCTGAGAAACTTCTGTGACAAGAACTGAAAAGATGCTAATCTCTAATTCAGGGTCACATTACTAATGCTACCCTCTTCTGCAGTTGGAGGAACTGACAGAACTTGAACCGCCTAACTGTAAAAGGCAGGAAAATGAGCAGCTACTGGATCAAAATCAAGAAATCCAGGCTTCCCAGAAAAGTTGCGCTTAAGACTGGTAATGGGCCATGAGGATGTGGCCTGGGTTGGAGTTGGGGCAGGGGCTGTTCTTTGGACTGGGTCTAGTTCTTTGCTTTGCTGCTTTTCCCTCTAACCTGGGCTTTCCTCTCTATCAAGCAGGTGCTGTTTTCAGAGGCTCAGCTCACAAGGGTTTGTGCTACTACAGCAAGGGCCCCAACCTCTAAAGCAATATAAGCAGTTATAATAAAAGAATGTCTTTTTCTACTTGATTATAATTCATTTTGGAGGGGAAAAGGACACTGGTCTGGTATTGGGGGTGGCTTTGATCAAAGAATACAGTGGGCTCAGTTATAAAAGTTTAATGAGAGAGAGGCCGTAACTTCCCTCAGTGCTGTCAGTTACTGAAAGGAAAAGCTGGTGCTAGGAAGCCCTCCACACCATTGACTGATGAATTTCAGCACATCCTGGCACACTGGGCTGTGAGAGGTCTGTGAGCAAATGGAAAGAATATGATAGGAGTACATTAATGCTGCTAAGGAAAACATCCCGGCTATAAAGAAAATCTTTTTCAACTCAGAATCATGGGGAACAGGGTCCAGGGGCTGCAAATGCCTTCTTGACAATCCCACCCAACCACTCACTCTTGTAATATTTCGATTTTTTTTCCCCTAGTATTACTCTCTCTGCCCTCATTCTTCAAGTCCTCGCTAACCTTGATGGCCATAAGGAACTTATTCCAGTTGTCCTTGTTAGCTGCCTTTCCTGGCCTCTTGAATTCAATTTTGTTCCTTAGAATGGGGTATCCTGTGGGGAAAGGAAAACAGATGAACTGGGATTTGAGGAACTGAGGAGGTAAAAATAAAGAGCAACCTGGGGATACAAAGAAGGATAGTCTTATCTTCTAAAACTCCCTTACTGAATAACACTAAAAATTTATGAATTCTATGATTTTTGCTTTCTTTCCACCCACCATATGATACGGATTTTGGATGGTCCTCTACCTGTAATCAGGCAGGGTAGTGCCCGAACTCCAGTGCTCACTGCCACCAAGGATGCCTCGTAGGCACCACGCTCATCCCGAGGCAGAACTTGCTCTAGTCGCTGGTCCATTGAGACTGTGAGCACCCAGTCTCGAACCTCTTCTCTCTGAGCCTCCTGGGAAGGACAGAGAGCAGCAGCTTCACACAAGGCAGGGCAAGTGGGCGATGATGACTAAGGGAGGGATTTGCTAAGCCCTCAATTTATACATCAGCTTTTAGCCCTAAATGGTTTCCTTGGATTGTGATCACAGTCACAGCCTTATCTTCCTACTGTTCTTCCACTGAAGGAACAGTGGAGACTGAGGACGTTTCAAAGGTGGCAACACAAAGACGTTGCTGACTGAGCCCATTACAAAGATCAACCTAAAGTGTCCTCCCTTCTCAGTGCACTCACACATGGATGAGTCTATTTCATTCCTTAACCCTGCATCCTTACCGGTACATGTTGTTTGGCTGGGAGCGGCACTTCGAAGGGAATATCTGTATCCTGAAAGTCAGAGTGGTCAAGGGCATCCAGAGTTCCTTCTTCAATTGCCTATGGCAGAATTGGCAGCCATGAGATAGGCACAGTTGTGACACACAAAACCTGATTTGGGGTACAACTTCCCTACTTACATCGGTCAGATCCAAAAAACGGTTGAGAAAAATGAATGCCATGTTCTCCCAGCCAACTGCCTATGACAGAGAAGTTGCAAGTGGGAGTGAACAACTAAGCTTGGATGATGATGCTTCAGGATGCCAGGGGAAGAACACAGGAAGGGATAACAGAATTCTGTCCTCCATAGCAGCCCCACATTCAGCTTTGTTGTACTTGAGCAGATGGGACATTCGCTATCTTCCAACTTTGTAACTCCATATCTCCTCTGCTCCACCCTTCCCTGTCCCAACTCACCTTGGCAGCAATGCCAGCTTCATAGAAGGCCTTGTCTGCAGGTAGAAGCTGGGTGTGACGTAAGAGTGAAACAGAAAGTCTGGCAGCCACAGTTTCCTACAGATTAAAGTTAAAGCATGATCCTGGTACTATTGTGATTGAGTTAACAAGCCAATAAATAACCTTTGTTTTTTAGGGCATAATTAGGAGTCCTGGCATGGCGCTGTGGGTTAATGTGCAGGACTTAAGGTTGGTTTGAACCACAAGACAGCAGTTCAAATTCTTTAGCTGCTCCTCGGAAACCCCATACAGGGTCACTATGAGTCAGAACCGACTCCACAGCACTTAACAAAAACAACGAGGCAGCCACATAAAAAATCAATCAAAAACTGCTTTGGATCTCACATGCTCTAGGTGTTAGTCTTTTTCATATATGCAAAAATAGTAAGCCTAGAGAATTTTCTAAGTTTCCTTCCATTTTTAGAACTGTCATCCAAGTTCATGAAATGTACAGTACACTAGGACTCCCGGTGTGGTGCTGTAGGATCAGCACTTGACTGCAAACCACAAGGTCGGCATATCAAATCCACCAGCTTCTCCTCAGAAACTCTACAGGATCGCCAAGTTGGAACCAACTTGATGGCACTTAACAACACAAATAAGCCAGAGAGAATTAATGAGATAAATAAATCATGGGATTTGAATGCTTAAATATGAGACTAAGACGGCACAGAGCCCAAAGGTTCAAGCCCTATCTCAGCAAGGGTTAAAGATGACAGGGTTAGACAGAAGAGACACTAAAAGAAGGTTCATTTCACGAGCCCAAGCTTGAGAATTCAGAACTTGAAGCCATTCCAATTCATACATAGGAAGATGTGTCCTAATAGTGCTTTCCTACACCTTCTGCATCTCACCAGCTGTTTGATGCTCTGGGCCGCAGAGCGTGTAGCATAATAGTGGGCAATCAGCAGCATAGTTTCAAACTCCTCATGGGCTGGAGAGTTTGCCTCACTGGACTTTACAAGGTTTTCACACTAGAGAAGGAAGAAAACACAGCTTGGATCAGGGGTCAGTGTAGATGGTCAACTGACAGTTCAGTGGGACAGAAGAAGGTAAAGTAAAATATATTTGAGGGTAAAGGTTTATGTGCAGGAAAGAACACTGGGACAGCATAGGCTTACTACCCTCCTTACTATGTCAGCTTCCTTACCAGGTTGAAGAAGACATCCCGAAGATCAGCCCAGCTATGATAGGCCTCAGCAGTATTGGTCCCAGGTGAGCTCACCATGTCAGTGAAGATCCTTTTGTAGATGTTGAAGTTCTGGCAGTAGGAGGGGAAAGGAAATCTGAGTGGGAAGGGGACAACTTGAAAATCAGAAAGTAAAAGTGGAGCCAAAGAGAGGAGAAATAGAGCTGTCAATGTGTGTGGTGCAGCAAGGGGACAGTGGTGGAAAACTTTCCACCACTGTGCTTTGTGATTGTGAGCACATGTACAAATGTAAATGCATAGTCATGATGTTAATGGGTTAATACTCCAGAGAATGATGATGCTCAGCAAATAGAAGAGAAGTGTTCATTTTCTGGAGGAAGTTAATAAGGTCCCAGTGGGGTGTGAGGGAGTCATCCCTGAAAGACTGCTCCCTGTGTATTAGCTAAGAGCATGGGAAGCTCCTTGGGTGTTTCTTCAAAGGGTATATTCTCAAGAGAGGCGTATACCTAAGAAGGGGTTTGGTGGGACTCTAGGAATAATGTTCTCTAATGAACGAATATTTTGAGAAGAGAGTATTTGAGGGCATGGATAGTTGTAGAGAAGAAGAGAAAACTTTCCTGTGGAAACATTCACTCTAAGGAAAAGGTAAGCTGGTACCTGTGGGTTAGCAGGGGCGCCGTGTTGCACGTACAGGGCTAGTGCCTGGGCATAGCCACCCTCCCGAATCAGGTGAGTTGCATACAAAGCCACATATTTGTGTAGAATCTTGTAGTTCTGTCCCATGGGTGGAAGAAAAGAATGGGGAAAATTGGGATAAGTAAGACTGAACAGTAAAGGTGGGTGCTGACTTGTATGCTGGGCTTTGGTGGAGAGGGAGAGCTCTGGGGCAGGTGGGCAATCAGAGGGAAAGGTAACGAAAAGCTGGGCATGGGAAGAGAAGACACCAGTACCTGCTTGGTAGCTGTTGCAATGCACTTGTCCCACTGACCCTGCTCCACATAGAGGTCCAAAGCAGCCACAACATCCACACCCACCAGCTAGGAGCCAGGTGAAAAGAGAATTACAGGAAGAAAGTTGACACAAGGAAAAGAAAAGAGCCTTTCTTGAGCCTCTCCCAGCATTATTCCTTCTGTTAACTTTGCATGTCTCACCGAGTCCACTTTGCCTTGATTTTTCAGGAACTCTTTATAATGCTGGTCCACATAGTCTTCATACCTGTGAAGATGTATAGAGATCTCTAACTTCACAGTCCTAGATGCCACAACCCACCCATTAAGAGCTTTTGCCCAGTTTTTACAAAAGGAAGGAAAAGAGAATTTCTCAGTGAGAAGGGGTCATGAGTTACCGGGGATCTAACTCCTTAGCCACACGCTTGGCTTTGTTCCATTCCTCACCCTCAATGAAAGCATCGATTGCTTCCTTGACTAGGTCCAGGTTCAGATAAAGCTCTGCAGCCTGCAGTGTGGGAAATTAGAGATTCAAGTCTATCTTTTCACTCCACTCCCCAGTCCTGGCAGTTCTCACTACTTCCCCAGAACTGCATGTCAAGCCTGACACACCTTCCTGGGTTTAGATGCATGGTTTTTAGGCCCAGCACCCTACTTACTGCACTGTGTTTTCCAATTCCAATCAACTGGGGTCCTACAGCCCGAACTACTTCCAGACTGCGCTGGGGAGGCAGAAACTTAATGGAGAGTTCAGCTGCCTGAGTGGTTAAGCAGAAGATGGAAAAAGGTGTTGTAAGTGCTATAGATTAGGTTCCAATTCACAGCGACTCTGGATAGGGTTTGTGAGGAGGGGCTGGTGGGTGTGAACCGCTAATCCTGTGGTTAGTAGTCCAGTGTCTATCCTACAGCACCACACCAGGGGAGAGAAATACCACTGGGGGTCCTCAGCCTGATCAGATGACTCCACTTCATACATACGAGGAGACTTCAAAAAGTTTGTGGGAAAATGGAATTAAAAGAGAATTCAAGGTCCCTTGTATTTTACTGTCTAGTTGCCAGTTTTTCTCTCCTGTACTCTTCCTCATCCTCCAACCTCCTGGGCAAAGCATTCCTCATGGTCTATCCTTTAAGTGACCATCAGTGGACCTATCTGATTCTCTCAGGTCATACTAATTCTTTCAGATACTCACTGCTATCTGAGGTAATGACATTTGGTCTTTCCACCTTTGACAGATTCGGATACAAATAGAATCTTAGACACATGACACAGGGTGAGAACCCATAAAATAGGAATCTGGGACATTTCACAATCACATATGTTAGAGACTTTTCTGAGCCTCCGGTTCTTTATTCATAAATGTGATGGTCATTCAAGATCTGTACTGTCCAGAACGGTAGCCTGTCCAAATTGAGATATACTATTAAGTTTCAATGTACATTGGATTTCAAAGACTTAGTATGAAAACAAGTTTTTATACTGATTACATGTTAAAATGACAAATTTTAGGTATACTGAGTTGAATAAAAGATACTGAAATTACTTTCACCTGATACTTTTTACTTTTTTAAATGTAGTTACTAAAAAATGTCAGATATGTGACTTACTTAAATTTGTGACTTATTTCTACTGGACACTGCTGGTCTAGATGATTTTGAAGATACTTTCTGACCCTAAAACTCAGTGTACTATACTCAAGGATTTCTACAAGGCTAATTTAGCTACCAAAAAACTCCAAACCCACTGCCATTGGGTTGATTCCAACTCATAGCAACCCTATACAGGATTTTTGAGACTGAAAATCTTTACGGAAGCAGAGAGCCTCTAATCTTTCTTCTGAAGAGCAGTTGATGGATTTGAAATGCTGACCCAAACCTAATCCACAGAGCCACAAGGGCTAATTCCTCTTGTTTTTTTTTCTTCACATATTCTTGCCTTTCTTTACATCAAACCCTTCAAAACTTAAAGTGCTCCTATCTAGGAAGCCATCCTCTGATTTACCTGAAAAAGACATGGTCACAGACCCATTAAACGGTGCTCCAGAGTACAACCACCAATGAACATAAAATCTCATATTCAGTTATCAGCCCTTGTCTTTCAACCTCTGGGATATTCATGACAAGGCTTCAGAAACCTAAGGGAAGTTTTGCCAGGGCATCATCACACCAACATTCTTAAATCCCCTCATAACTCCCAATGCTATATTTCACTGAAGCTAAGGAGCATCATTTAAACTATACATACATCCCAGTTTTAAAGATTTAAAAAAGTGATTGTTGTTGTTATTAAGTACCGTGGAGTCGGTTCCAACTCATAGTGACCCTGCACAGGGTTTCCGAGGCTGTAAATCTTTACGGGAGCAGAAAGCCTCCTCTTTCTCCCATGGAACCGCTGGTAGTTTCGAACTGCCGACCTTGAGGTTAGCAGCCAGATTTGTAACCACTATGCTACCAGAGCTCCTTAAAAAAGTGATTATGTGTGTCTTAAATTGATGACATACACTGACCTGGGTTAGTCTGCTGAAGGCTTCTTTGCAGGAGCTACTGGGAAGAGGAACCTCATATTTTTTCACAGCCTTTGTCTAGTCCCAGATCTTGGGCCTGGAGTTCCCCTTTTAGCTCCAGTCTAGGTCTTACCTTCTCCCTCACAAAGCCTTCCTGATTCAGCCTACAGAGCACTCACCCTTCCATGAACTGTACTTTGAATCATACACTTAAGTATTTATCCACTCAAATACGATATGAATTGAGCCATGTCTGACTCCCTCAGCTTCTGTCTGTCAGCGCTCTGCCTTCTATTCCTTTGACAGGTTCTGGCTATGACATTCAGTGGACACTCCATAGCACCTGCTGCCTAACTGAAATCAAAAAGACTGGAGGAAAAATCTGAATGTTTGAGAAGCAAAACTGGGTATAGATGAAAGTTTGGAAGAAAGGAAAGCCAGTGAGATTCTGGGAACCCTCACCTTCATCCAGCACTTCTCCACAAGACTGTTGCTTCCTGAGTCACGTACTTTGAGGT